TCGCCGCCACGCCCCCTCCTGCTGGCGGGAGAAGCCCCTCGGGGCGGGCCCGCGCCGCCCTCGTGTCCGGGCCGGCGCTGCACACCTGGGCGGGGGCTGGCGCCGGCCTCCCAGACGGCCGCTGCACAGGTGCGTGACTTTGGGGTTGGGTTTCTTTTTTTGGCGGTGTTTTGATGTCGCTGCACGGGCACCAAATCTCTTTTGCACAAGACGGGGGCCTGGGAGCGGCCACCTCACTCCTTCCGACGTGGTCTTCACGGATTTCACAGACATCGGGGCTGGAAGGGACCTCGCGTCCAGCCCCCCACGGCCGTCTGGCCCGTAGCTCCCCGGTATCGCTCTGCCCCCCAAACCCTTTAGTCACGTCGGCACAAAAGAAACAAATGGCACCCGGCTGACAGGTTACTGCCCGTGAAAGCCTTTAGCTCAGGTCACGCTCAGCCTATTTGACGCCTAAGGCAGACCAGACCCCCCAGTTCCTCCCCTTCCTGGGGAGCGCCCCCTCACCTGCCCCGTCCCTTCCCTCCTGCCTGCCCAGCAGCTCGGCTTCAACAGAAATGGCGGCAGACCGCTCCGCTCCGCTCCGCTCCGCAGCTACACGGCCTTACGGTTCCAGCACCTCCCTGGGAGGACGGGTCAAACCCTCTCAGGCTAGAGAGGCCTGTGAGTGTGCAGAGGGTGCCCTGCCTCCTCGCCACTTGCGACGTAGGTGCACACCGGGGGTGAAGGCACATTGCATATTTAAACACGTGATCGGTTTTCCAGGAGCTCTAGCGGCATGGGAGAGGCTGACGCTTAGTGACTTACACCTACGAGCCATGTAGATGCCGTGGAGGTGGAACAGGATCTGGGCCCACCTGTAGGTGCAGCTGTATCAGCAAATAAAACACTATAGTGGCTTATTTGTTCAGGGTACAGGTCCAACTGCTTTTGCCACAAGTATTTTGTTGGTAAGACCAGGGCACGACATGCAGCCGAGACGGGACTAAGCCCACAGTGCTGGTGGCAAGCCTGTCCCATGACAAGGCCTTAGGGACAACTGTTACTACAGAATGAAACCCTTCCAGCTGTCCCTGGCCTGGAAAGCAACACAGCAAGGATGTTGCTCCACATACCAAGAACGAACCCAGGGTCTGCATCTCCTTTCGTGCTGTTTGTCCTTCCACCACTCTCCATCTCATTTATTCCTCCCACGCAGGGAGCTCCTTAAGTGAAGCTTTGTACGAGAAAAGAGGACAGAGCTGAGATGTAAAGCTCTACATCAGTGTTTCTCACTGGTTGTAAGGATATATGAAAGGGTCACCAATAGACTTTAAAACGGGATTCTCCTTTAAAAGGAGAAAAATGTGGGAAAACACGGGTTTCTCCTTGCAGGCTGGCAGAGCTCCAGCCTGCACGGGGCTGCGGGGAGCAGGAGGAGGATGATCAGGCAGGTGGCACTATATGCATGTGTGCAGCTCTCCATCAGTGTTTTACAAATGGGTTCTGGTACAAAAAAGTTGAGAACCAGAAACTGGGAAATTGCGGCCTCAACTTTATGGTCCAGTGGCTTGGTAACCAGCTCTGAGGCAGGACCCAGAGAGTATTAACAGATGGCACCGAGTTGACACGGCCGGTGTCTAGCTGGTGTTATTTGAGCCCAATATTCTTTTCCTGCCCAGGGCAGGGGGTTCTGGGTGCCGCACTTCAGGAAGGATGTGGAGAAGCTCAAGAGAGTCCAAAGGAGGGCTACACGCGTGAGCAGAGGCCTAGAGCCCAAGTCATATGAGGGGAGGCTGAAAGACTTGGGACTGTTCAGCCTGGAGAAGAAAAGATTCAGAGGGGAATTGGTGGCAGCCTTTAAATATATTAGGGGTGTACATCAGCACCTGGGGGAGCACCTGTTCACCAACACCGCTTAGGGGAAGACAAGAAACAATGGACACAAACTGATTGAAGATCACTTCCGATTAGACATAAGGAAAAATTTCTTTATGATTCGAGCGTCCAGGGTCAGGAACAGATTCCCTCAGAGGTTGCACAATCATTGACCCTGGAGATCTTCAAAGAACGACTGGACGTGCACCGTGCTGGGGTCATCTGATCCCAGCAGTCTTTCCTGCCCAAGTGCAGGGGGGCTGGACATGATGATCTCGTGAGGTCCCATCCAGCCCCTAACATCTATGAATCTATGAACCACTACTCTACATGACTGTTGTGCTACGTACAATATCAGTAGCGGAGTTGGAGAAATTTACAGGATTTCTAAACCCCAAACACAAAGACAATGCTTGAACCATTTATGGAAGATCTTTCTTTTCTTCTTTTTTTTTTCCCATTGTTGGTAGTTTCTCTCCCAAGTGCAGTAAAACCATCTGCCATGTTTAGAACATGAGTCCCAGGAAAAAAGCATGACACATGACATCTTTGTTGCGTGTCCAGCTTGATCAGTTCAAGAGCATTTCAGTCCCATTTCTCCCTCAAGTTAAATACCAGTAGCTGCACATAGCCAAGGCATTTTACTGAATAAACACAAGCCTTTTAAAATGCCCATTAGTAAGGAAGGCAGCCATTTCAATCATGCCAACAGCACTGTAGCCATGTGCTAAATCCCACCAATTCTAGATTGAAAGTCATCCCCTTCAGCCAAGGTAAGCACGACTACTACTTCTTGAGCAGGGACAGCCTGCTTTCAGCTGTTCACACTTAAGTAAGACTGCTTATAGTGATACTCGGGTAACCTTGCCCCTACCAGCAGCCTTGAAGTTGACAGGACAGAGTGAATTTCAGAGCTGGTAATAACACAGCCGTGATTAGGTGGAGTGGGGCTGGATCAGGGGTAGGCAAAGTCCAGCCTGCAGGCCGGATCTGGCTGGCAGCTGGCTCCATGCCCCTGTCCACAGCATGCATTGTCATCACTGGCAGCGCCTCGAAGTCGAGGATGACATCTGTTAGGCTTGATGGGTCCCTCAGGCGACTGCGGAGCCCGACTCTGGATACACACATTCTTCAGCAATGGGAGCATGTTGTTGTGCGGGGCAGAGGGATTTGCAGCCCTGGGTTGGTCTCCTTCTTCCTCTGACAGATCGCAGCTCTGCTCTGGCTGTGGACCAAGCTGCTCCCGCCACAAGATCCCAGTGGTTTTGGAGCAGCACCCTGCCCTCCTCTGCTCCGTGTCCTGCCAGCGCGGCTGGGGCTGGTCTCCATGGCAACCCCAGCCTAGCACTATTACAGCACAGATGTGCCTGGGGTCTCAATGGAGACCGGCCCCAGCTAAGCGAGCAGGGGCTGCTGGGAAATGGAGTCTGGCTGCTGGCTGGATCTGCCATTTTGCCCACCCCTGGTCTAGATGAACCCCGAGATGGCCTGTCTGGCACTTCTCCAGTTGCTCAAGGAGCACCCTGTAATAAGGCTCAGGCAGTATCAGGATTGGGAGGAGGATGGGGACAATGAACAGTGTTAGCCCCAAATCATGTACCCATGTTCAAAACAGAAATGCGGCCTTTTACTTAGTTAAATATAGACCCAAAATAAAAAAGGAGATGGACTGCCAGGAACAAAAAGGAAAAGTACTACATACAGCAACACTTACCAAGAAAGGTACTTATACGTTAGCAGCCCTAGAACATGATGTTCTGCATCTGGAAGCACTTTGCAGCATATTATATGAAGTGCTTTATGCAATGTAAGTACTAATTATTTCCCATCAGAGCCCTCAGGAAAGGGACCTGCTACTATCTATTACCCAGCACCTGACTCCTCCGCTGCAAGATCCCTGTTCAGCTGTATGTTTTCCTCCATGGCACTTCATATGGCCAATGCTAACGGGGTGATGCAACTCAACGCTGATGTATGACATTTAAGTTGCGCTATGGAAATTTAAAGCGCTACTGTGATACACACACAGAACATCTCTTATAGCAGATTACCTGCCTTCTTGTTTGACACCATGCTAATGACAAATCGTCTAGATACAGGCTGTTCCTATTCACTGTTCATTTTGCAACAATGGATTAAGGACTTTGTGGGATGTGAGCACTTAATACCACAAAATAAATGCAAACAGCTCTCAAAAATGTGTCTGTAGTGGAGGGGCTGATTCCTGAATGCCTTCTATATACGAAAACTATTTCAGTATTTATCAAGAGCCATCCTTGGGCAAAATCCAAGCCCTTGTCTAAGCAGTCAAGACTCTTGCACTAACACTGCATAAACAGCATGAACATCGTTATCCAGCTATAACCCCACACGACGCATTTGTGTTAAGGTACAATCATCATCATCCCCAGAACCACCCTTCCTATCTACAGAAGCATCATCTACGTGAATTCAGGAGAGGTCAGATGGTGATATAATACCTAGACGCTGCTTGGCTGTCTTCTTTGTCCAACATGCGTGCATGTGGAAGGGGCTGTTTGCATTTGATCCTAAAGTTAATAAAGTTGATTAATACCAGAATTACTATCCAGCTATGCAAAACCACTGCTTTGCTATTACTCAGTTCTAGCAGAATAGCAATAACTCACTATTTTGGAATCATCTGATGAAATCCATAATAAAATGGAAAAGCAACAAGACTAATTTATGAAAAGAGGTGCAGAGGCCTACAGCTGCAAATAATTCTTTAGCTGAAATCCTAGCTGTTTTACAGCTGGTACATTCTTTGCCATTAAAGCTACCTTGTGTGGGGGGATAATCTAGTGAAGAAAAAATGCTCTCCAAGGTAGCTGATTAATGTGTAGGAGCTGGAAAAAAAAACAACTCATCATATCAAAGCAAGTACATTTAAAAAGTTAAGAATGATCACCTGTAGGGGAAGAATTTATGCTTTATAATTCAGTCTTTTCATTCCAATAGATTCATGT